GTCTGGGCCACAAGCTGTAGAAAAGTCTAAGCAGTAAATTACTTTAAATAGAGAAGCTGGAGTAATATGAATGTCAAGCAATGGATCAACCTGTTTGACGGCTATATCATGTAGAGATGATATTGATGAAAAGTTTTTAGCAAATAATTCAGCTTTGTCTTTAGGTGAGGTGACAAATTCTGAACCATGCAAAAGAGTTGGAATTACAGACTTACCCTTATTATTGATACTATTAAAGATTCACCAAAGGCCATGTGAGCCTAATTTTTGTGATGAAATATGAGATTTCATGGCCTAAGAACAGCGGGCTTTGGCATTAGACAAAATCTTTTTACAATGGTTCTAAGCAGAAATGAACAGACGTCTGTTTTCTGGAGAATTGTTTTGCTAATAGATATGGAAGTTATGGTTTTGATTAGCAATTGCAGCAGCACAATGTGAAGAATTGAGTGACCTGGAATCCTTGAGAGAGAATAAAGGACTCCATGCCAGCCTAAATCCTCCAAGTTATGTAAGAAGCACATTTGTCAACAGGAAGATGAAAGATTTCTACCCAAGAGCCATCCCGAAGAAAATCACAGAAAGAGTCCTAGTCAACTTTAAGGTAGTTGTAAGATATATACGATGATAGGGGGATTCTGATGATAAAGAAGAATGAGATAATAGTTTTAGAGAGATCAAACTGTGATCAGAGGCACCTACAGGTGAATGTGGAGAAACTGAGCACTGACTAGGATTAGAAACAATACATAAGTCGAGTAGAGAAGGTCAATCATTCGGGTTATCTGGAAAGCAAGTTGGAAAGTTGACTATTTGAGCTAGAGATTGAGAAAGGCAAAAGTTGTGGGCCTTAATGCCTGCAGAGTCACTGACAGGGCCAAGCCATTCATTGTGATGAGCATTAAGTCACCAACAACAACAATATTGGCTGATGGATAAAGAGAAAAGGCTTGGTCAATATGATCAGAAACAACATCAAGAAGAGTGCAGTCTTGAGATGAAGGAGAGCGATATAGAACAAACAGAAAGGCAATAGAGTGAAGTTGTGCTAAGCTAAAGCACATAAAAGAGTAGTCTGTGGATTCAAACCTAGTTTCCAAAGAAATGGGTGAGTTCTTACGAATGTAAATGCCCAGGCTAAGCATGTGACTATTGGAGTCTTTACGAATTAAAGTTCATTTTTAAATTTATTTAAGACAGGGTTGGCAAAAACCCGGGTTTTTTTAAAAAAAACCCGGCCCAGTGGGTTTTATTGGGTAAATTTGGGTTTTTTTGGGTATAATTTTTATTTTGTCTCTGTAAAAAAAATTTTTGTGTTTTTGTTTATTGATATTGAAAATTAGTTTTGTTCTACTTTAACTTTATTTAAAATATATTTAATATATTGTTGTTTAATTATTTATAACAAGAATTTTTCAAATTATTTTGAAAAAGATTTTTAAATATAATTTAAAACTGTAATAGGAAAAAAAAATTTCACGCTTAATCTATATGCATTGATTTATTTTAAATTTAAAAGTATTATTTTATATAATTAAAAATGTCAATGAGAAAATGTGAAAAAGAAGGCTTGAGAATGGGAGGTAGTAACTGAAGTTTCAATTAAACTTTGAACTTGAAATTCAAATGAACAAACTTGTTCCTCTGCGCAGCGGCCTTGTTTATAAAGATTCGTGTTTAGGAGTTAAAGAGTTTTTTTTCTTCTTTAAATCAATTCACCTCCTCAAAGCTTATGGTCACTACAGGCGAGGAGGCTACTTATTTGTGGTTATAACCCTCTCTCAACTCTATAACTCCGAAACATGAACCTTGACGAACAAGGCCGCTGCGCGGAGAAAGGAGTTGAGCGCGGTACTGCCAGGGACATGGTGGGGATCAAACTCGGAACCTCTCACTTATGAATTGAGCGCTCTACCACAACACCACTACCGCAAAAGAGTTGAGAGAGGGTTGTAACCACAACAAGGTAGCCTCCTCGACTGTTGTGTTGGCTTCTCTGGTCACTACTACTCATTTAAATTCAACTTGGGAGGTGAACAACATTATGTAATAAAAATCTCAATCGATAAAAATATTTGAATAAAAATTGTAATAATGTATTTCCAAATAATGATTCAAATAATAGTAAACCTGCTCTGATAGCTGTTATTGTTGGTTATAATAGTTAATAATAATAGTTAATAATAATTAAGTTAATAAAAATAGTTAATAATTATTTTAGTAAATAATATTATAGTTATAATGTTAAAGTTGGTTATAATAGTTCATAAATTTATTAAATATCTTTAAAAAAACCCAATAAAACCCAGATTTTCCAGGGTTTTATTGGGTTTTATTGGGCGGGTTTTTTAATGCCAACCCTGATTTAAGAACTTGACTCAAAACATAGATGTTACTCAGTACACTGTTTATAAATAGAATAGAATCTGTTTACCCCTCAAGTCTTTGCCTAGGAGGCCTTCTACAAATCAGCAGCCATATGCATTTAACATCTGCCCAAGATGAGTATGTAGCAACACTCCCTTGTAGCAGCAGGCTATAAGATAGTCATTGTAGTAGCACTTGCTTGTAGCGGCAGGCTATAAAATAGTGTATGTAGCATCACTCCGCGCATGTTTTAAAATAAAAAAATAAAAATAAAAACATTTAGAATGTTTTTAAAAACATCCTAGTTTTTTAGTCTGCATTTTTGTGGTCTGCAGGGTTAGGGTTATGGTATCCAAAAAAATTTTCAAAAATTATTGTTATTGACGATGCTCCAAAAGCTTGTGAGCTAGTGCATTGTTACTTTACTAAACTTTTTTAACGAAATGGTTAGGAGCCTGTTTAAAACTTTTTTTTAAGTTTTATAATACATTTTTTTAATCAGAGCAATTGTTATGTTTATATTTTTAGTAATTTGTATTAACATTGGAAATTGGGCATTATAAAAGAAACAATGACAGACATGTATCTAATGCAGTAAATTTTTAAACATGTTTACTTTCATTTTTTATAAAAATGAAAGTAAATATGTTATTCTTTTATTTAACTTATATATATATATATATATATATATATATATATATATATATATATATATATATATATATATATATATATATATATATATATATATATATATATATATATATATATTTCTTCAATTCTCTCTAAACTATTTAACAAGTGTTTGACTGAGTCTTGTTTTCCTGCTTGTTGGAAAATGGCATCTGTGGTTCCAATATTCAAAAACTCTGGAGAAAATTCTGACCCCTCCAATTATCGTCCGATCAGTCTTCTTTCTGTTATTAGCAAGGTCTTTGAGTCTTTGATCAACAAATTCCTCACATCTCATCTTGAGTCAAATAAACTGCTGTCAGACAATCAATACGGTTTTCGATCCTCTCGCTCCACGGCCGACTTGCTAACTGCTGTAACTGAAAGATTTTATCGTGCATTAGATGGAGGCGGTGAGGCTAGGGCTATTGCTCTCGACATATCTAAAGCTTTTGACAAAGTTTGGCATGCTGGTCTTCTCCATAAGCGTGCTTCATATGGTGTTTCTGGGAAAGTTTTTGAGATTATCAAATCATTTCTTTCTAACCGGTTTATTAAAGTCATCCTTGAAGGCCAACACTCTTCTTTATTTCCAGTAACTTCTGGGGTTCCCCAAGGTTCCATCCTGGGCCCTGTTTTGTTTCTTATCTACATAAACAAGCTTCCTGACTACCTTTTATCTAAAGTAGCTCTTTTTGCTGATGACTCAACTTTATACTCCTGTCTTGACAAAAAGTCTTCTCTTTTCGATCGCCTAGAACAAGCAGCTGATCTTGAATCTGATCTCACTTCAGTGATAGATTGGGGTTCATAGTGGCTTGTGAATTTCAACTCTAAAAAAACCCAATTGCTTACTGCAAACAACTACCGTAATATGGTCAACATTCCTATATTAATGAATGGCAATCCTCTTACTGAGTCCTCCTCTTTACGTCTTCTTGGATTATCGCTTACTACTGAACTTTCATGGAAACCATATATACAATCAATTGCTAAATTAGCTTCTGCTAAGGTTGCTTCTCTTTATCGTGCTTGCCATTTCCTTACTTCTGATTCCATTCTCTACCTCTACAAATCTCTTATTTGTCCCTGTATGGAATACTGTTGTCATATTTGGGCTGGTTCTTCTTGACAAGGTCCAAAAACGCATTGTAAATGTTGTTGGACCTGGACTATCTGCTAAGCTTGAACCTCTTTCCCATCGTCGTAAAGTTGCATCTCTTTCTCTTTTCTACAAATACTATCATGGTCACTGCTCAAAGGAGTTATCATCTCTAGTTCCATCAACTAAAATTCATTCTCGTTTTACTCGTCATTCAAGTCTCATTTGTTTACTGTATCTGTCCCTGCATGCTCTAAAAACTTTTATTCATCTAGTTTTTTTCCCCGCACTTCAATCCTTTGGAACTCTCTCCCATCTTCATGTTTTCCTGACTCATACAACCTTCAACTTTTCAAGTCTTCTGTCAACCGTTTCCTTGCTCTATAACTCTGTTCTTTTTTTTCCTAGTAACTCCTAACTTAATAGTGGTTGCTTGCAGCCTTGTTGGGAGTGAATGCAAATAAAATAAAAAAGAACAGAGTAATAGAGCAAGGTAATTTATATTTTATTACCGTAGAATATTTGTATATAAAATTAATTAAGTTTTTTTCATCTAACTGAAGATAAGATATAAAATAGTCAAAACATGTATTTTTATTATATTTGTTAAAAAAAAAAGGTTTTCGTTGATAAGTCAAAAATATTTGTCTTACGTTCTCAATTGTTTTATTTATATATATATATATATATATATATATATATATATATATATATATATATATATATATATATATATATATATATATATATATATATATATATATATATATATAATATATATATATATATATATATATATATATATATATATATATATATATATATATATATATATATATATATATATTTGCATATTCAGTGTTCGGTGTTTATTTGAAACTAATGATTCAGTTGAGGCAAGATTTCATTTTAAAGACTACATTGATCCTAAAGAAAATATTTCAATGAAGGTTTGTTGCTATTTTTAGATAAATGATTATATCAGATTAAAACCTAATTATTTAAACCACAATGTAAGGCAAATATAAAACTTAAACTTACAAAGAATGGTGAATTTTGTCCATTTTTTATATTTTTATTTTACAATGTTATCTCCCTAAAAATGGAACATGACAGACAAAGAAGCTTTTTTTTAGTAATTATTTTTTTAGTTTTTTGGTCCTTTTTTTTAGTTATTAATTAAAAGCTTTTTTTAACTATATAACTTTTAAACATAAACTTTACAAAACCAAGCTGTGTTTAGAAACAAGTTAAGTGTTACACTATCAAGAATATGGTGGGTTTTAAACTCGTTTTTTTTCTTTCACTTACCATTATTTGGGGATTTTTTCTAATAAAGTTTGATCATTTGCCTGGAAATCAGTTTTATTTTATTCATACTTTAAAATTGTCACATGAAGGCATTTTTTGTGAAATTAGTGACTATCAGATTTTCAGATCTGTTTATCAGATGATCTATTTCAGATCTATTATGAGATGATCAGACTATCATATTGTGACTATCAAAAAATAATTTATAGTTCCCTATCAGAAAATATTTTTATTTTCAATTAAATTTGATCATTTTAATTATTTTTAATTTTTCTAAAAACTCTCTCTCTCTCTCTCTCTCTGAACTCTAAAATCAACATCTTTACTTTTAGAGGCATAGATAAAATTTGAACCTTAAATCTCTTAACTGTGAACTAAAAGTTTTACCTCTTTTTTAACTTCTTTTTATGGATTTATTCCTATTTGTTAAAAATATATTTGTTTTTACAATTACTAATTGTATGTTTGTGCTCTTATTTCTACTAGCAGTAAGCAAACTGCAATATGGGTTGTTAGTAAATAAATCATTAATAACAATTTAACTTGATATATATATATATATATATATATATATATATATATATATATATATATATATATATATATATATATATATATATCTGAAAAATACAATTTTATCTATATATAGTTATTTTAGTTCTTGCTTTTATTTGTCTTGGCATTTAGTTAACAACATAAAAAGACACCATTACTTAAGTTATTAGCTTCTTTTTAAAATCAGATTAAACAACAGGCACCAGAGAAAGAAAGTTAAGAACAATCTTAAAAAAAAATATTTTAAAAAATGAAAGCATAAAAAAAGCAAAAAAATTTAATTCAATTTTAAAAAATCTGTTAGAACAACTGGGATTCATAAATGGTGTAATAGTAAGTGACTCGCAAAACATTTCTTAAACATTATTATCAATTATGGTACTAAAAATACAAGAGCTGCGTTATAAGTTATTACTTATAATACCGTGTTCCAACGATGCTTCCCTTTAATAATAAACCTTCATTAAAGAAAGACACAATAAATTATTATGAGCATAACTAAAGTTATTATTATTAATGACAATGACAAAAAAAATATAGTAGCACAAAATAGTTTTAGCACAATTAACCATTAAAATTGGCTGTGTCATGCTACAATAAACAATATTATTTTTACCTCAATTATATAGAATTTTATTCTTTGTAACTATTGAATTACGATTAACACAGTAAATTTCACATCACATAAATTTACTAAATTTAAACCATGTTTCAACAATAAGCAAACTAATAAAGCAATGGCAACTAAAAAAAAAGAAACAGTTATGTTTGAATTTAAAAAAAAAACCATTTAGTTTTAAGATAATTGTCAATTAAACAAAAATTTAAAAAAAATATGATTTGTAAAAATAATGCCGTTAAAACAACAGTATCTGAAAAAAAAATTATTTTAAAATACAAAAGCATTGATAAAGCAAAAGAAAAAATTAGTCAGCTAATATAACAGCCTTACTACTGCTCACATTGCAAGTCATATTTTAGCTAGGTTAACATATTGTAGGTTAACATATAGTTGATCTGGCCAAAGATTACTTACAGGATTCAAAACTTGATCACCTATTGTAAAATATGGAGGCCTATAATTTATAGCTTGAATGACATAAGCTGTAAATATAGCATAAGAACAGCAAACTTAAATTTTAAAATATTTTAAAAGTTCATATTGATCTTAATTAAGATTCTCTGTAAATAAATTTTGTAAATAAATTTGAATGATAACTAATTTCAGCTTGCCTAATTCTATTTCTTTTACTTTAAAATGAATTATTTTTGAATCGTCTATTAGTATTTCTACTTATAACTTCTTTGAGCCTTATATCATCCATCTCAATTCCACTAATATCAATAATTTTATTAACAGTAGTATTGTTACTGTTGTAATAAATAATTATTGAAAATTTTATTCTAAAGTTGTAAAAACATTTTTTAAGGACATATCTGTAAAGAGATAATTAACAAATGATAATATTCAATTAAAAACAAACAAAAAACCTGCAATACTATTAACATAGATATTATTTGGTAATAAAACAAAAACACAATGTTGAATTTTATTTTATTTTTAAGCTATATAACAATTTTATAAAACTTTTTAAAAGAGAAAAAAATGCAATAAATAATTTTTTTTTGTAAAGCAATATAATAAAAACAAAATTAAATCAAATTAGTTTAGAGTACTAAGTGTACAAAACTTTACAATTTAACTTATTAGTTTAACAAATGGTTTACCATTAAGATCAATAATGGAAAAAAATTACCAAATAAAAATTTTCAACTAATTCTATTAAAATTTTCTCAAAATCAATATTTAAAATAAAGAATTAATATATTTTGATTTAGGGTTCATTGAAATCCATATCTTTTTATAAGTTTATATATGTAACTGTTTACAAGTTACAAATTAGTATGACAAGAAAATAAATACAAATTGATTATGAAAGAATTTAGATGTTTATCAAAAATATAAAACAAAATTTAATAATATCAATTATTTTTAATTCAACAAAAAACTACAATATGTAAATTTGTTAAAATAATAAAGCAATGTCAGTCAGTATATTTTAATCAAAAGTTTTAAAATTAAATAACAAAAAAGATCCAACAAGACTACAAGCAACCACTATTAGAGTTAAAAGTTACTTGAAGTGAAATAATAAAGTTTATAAAGCAAGATAACGATTAACATGCAACACTTAAGATTGCAAATTATATGAATCAGGAAAACAAGATAAAAAGAGCGAATTTCAAAGATGTTCGAGGAAAAAAACTAGATAAATACTAGATAAAAAAATAATTTTTGGAGTCCTTAGCAGAGTTGGAAAAAACCCAGGGTTTTTTAAAAAAACCCAACCCAAATGGGTTTTTTTGGGTTTTTTGGGTTTTTTTAAAAACCGATCAAAATACCAAATTTTAATAATTGTATGAGTACAATAATTTTTTTTTTAATTTCATAAATTTAACTTCCTATTGCTCCAACGACCACTTCAGTCAAGGGAGCAACTCATTTTTTTAAAATATTTTGTCTCAAACCTTAACATTACCATTTTTACTAACAAACAACAATAACAACTAAAATTTTTAAACAAAGGCGCTGTGCAGAGAAATAGATTGAGCACCGTAATTTCAGCAGAGGTAATTTGAACCCCAACCTTCTGGTTGCGAGCCAAATGTTTTACTACTAGTCTGCTAGCACATTTTACCTATAGTGCAAAAAGGGACTCCATCAACTATAAATGATGTTAATTAATTGCACTAAATTAAAAATATGTTCAGAATATTTTGACAAAAAAAAAATCAGTATAAAAATTATTATGACAATTGAGTTACTCAAAGTTGGTAAGACAATATAAATGTTGAAAACTAGTTTTTTTTACTAACATGTTCAACATATCATTTCAAAAACTATTTTGCACAAGTTTACAACATGTAATCAACAAGTTTGCAACATGATGTTGCAACCTTATAAGTTATTATGAATCAAGTTGATGAACACTTTTTAAACATTTTTGTATCATAGAAGAAAACTGCTAGCCTAATCACTACATTTTTTTTTTATCAAAACATTATACTGTCCAGCTTCCTGAAAAAGTTATCCACATGATCAACTGGACTGGCAAAAAATTGATTTTTGCCTAAACTTTAGTTGTTCTTAAAATATCTAAAATAAATTTGTTAAGAACCATTACAGTGTCTTTGCCACCAAGTTTTTTTTTTCTTTAAAGATGTTTTACCGGCTCAGTTTTGCAATGCAAATTGCAAACTGAATCAAAGTAACACATTATACAGCTCTATTGTGTGTGTTTCTTCACCTTTTAGCAACTTGATACTGATGTTAATTTTCAACCCGCTGTTCATAGTCACCCTTGTTGGTGGTACATGTTGTAAACTTGTATGCAAAATATTTAAAACCTATCAAAAGACAGATGAGCATGAATGTCATTTTTACCAACAAATCTTGTCTTTGTGAAATGCATACAAGTTTTCAACATGTTCTCTCATTAAATGAGCAAACATGTTGCAAACTTGCTTGCACTTAACTTAATTTTTTTTTAGTTTTAAAGTTGTATGTACTTAAGGACAAATCTAGTAAACTGTAGCATTTTTTTTTTTTGCCTGACAACTTTCCATTTCTAAACTGTAAATAAAGTTTAATAATTTTTATATATAGTATTTTGCTTGTGGCTTTCTACTGAAATTTGCAGTTTCCAACATAAGCTTTAAAAATATAAAAGAGCAAATACCAATATAAAGGAATATAGACATTCGAGAGGAGAATAAAGATACTAAAAAACTAGTAATGTCTTGAAATTTAGTTAATAGAATGATTTTTATTTCCTTTATAAGTGTTTAACTAATTTAATGTTTTAATACATATTTCAATAACATTTATAATAACTTGCTAAATTTTAAAAAAAAAAATAATAAATAACCAACTTGCTACAAAAACAGATTGATCGGTTTTGGGTATATTCTAAATACCATTATGTATATAAATACAGTGTTTACAAGAGTAATTACAGTATAAAGGTTGCACTTGCTGATAATAAAGCATTTATAAGTGTTAAAATCAAAGTTATCAGTTGTA